TATGAATACGATCAATCTCTGTATGAAGATCATCAATTTCAGGCATCGCATGAGGGATTGAGCAAGGCTAGTAAGCTCTTTGATAGTTTCCGGGAGCCCCCGAATACGGAAACTGTAACGTCTGGCCCTGTTCTCTAGATCATCAATTTTAGAGTAAGCTTCATCCAATCGATCCTGAAAATCGGTAATCATATTGGAGTTTTGGGACACATTATGGACTTTGCATCAACTTCAGATTCAATACTATCAAGACGTTGGCCCAATTCTTGAAAATCGTGTTTCAGATCCGCCGCCAATTTATTAGTAACTTTATCCAATTCTCGTTGCAACAGGTCAGCAAAATGAGCAATAAGGGTCGCATCTCCCGAATACTGCGGTGGAGCTGGAGGGAGTGTTGGCGAATTCTCAGGGCTATCAAGATCAGGTTTCATACCACTACTTTAGCTGAGAAATATAGCCACCATCTCATTATCAATAGAGAAGAAGCTTGAGAATTATGGCCAAGTGAGCAGGCCGAGGCCTGGGACACAGATACAACAGGGCTAGGAGGAGACTGGGGTGGCTGTATAGGGTCACTCACCCCTTCAGAAGAAGCCACCGTGTCTTGATCCTGGAGTGCAGCTGTAGCAGAGCCTGATTTAGCTCTCTGAGGGAGAGGAGCAGCTGTCAGAGAGGCAGTGGAGGCTGCAGGAGCCGAGCAGGACACCATTTTTGATCCCCTGCCCACCCCAGATATTGAGTGCTGGGAGCTGCTGTGGCCCCTCCCTGCTACTCATCTTAGCATGGGAAGAAAGCTCTAGGAGTACCTGGTCCTCTCCGGATGTAATTCGTGGTCCCTGCGGGGTTTGTTGCCCATCTACAGGCTCTGGAAGTGCCGGGGGAGTGTGGAGTGGTTACCGGGACATGTGTGCCAGCCGCCGGCGCATGCACACCTCTAGTTTGAATACTTTAATATGTAAATGTACTCTAACATATTGTTATTGTGTATGTGGTCTTTGTTCTTGCTGTATTTGGATAGACCTGAACAAGTTTTTTTTGTTGTGCTCTGTACCTATACAAACACAAACAAAAAAGTTCATAAATAAGAAAAATTAATTTACAACAAAATCATGTTATCACCCCATCAGTTTTGTTGATAAAAAAAGCCATGTGATCACTATGTCAGCATTGACATGGTGATCACATGACTTTGTTAATAAACAAGGGGTTAAAGTTATTGTCACAGTTGGGATTAGTTTTAGAGTTAATGAGTAACTTTATATCCTCCTTTTTTTTGTTTGTTTTCCCCTCTTACTGCAACCACAATCAGTGTTTATGGGGGAATGCCCCCCCCACAGAGCTATTGTGTTCTCTGGGCAAGGGCAGCTCCACGTTCCCCCTCTGGGAAAACACAATAGCCGCTGGCAATAATTGCATGTAAATATCTTACATGCTAGTTTTACCCAATTCATTCAGCCTGCCCATAAATAGTTTGTATCTCAGCGTGTCCCTGCTCAACTGGCCAAGATTCAAACCATCTATGGCCAGCTTTACCTGTACAGCTGATTGTCCTCAAAAAAACATACTCACAAGCCCAGAAAATCCAGAATTGTCTATTGTAACCTATAGCTCTATTGCCACATGCCGGGTCCCGCACCTCCATCTTTGATACTGATGTCACAACAGGGATGGCTGGTGTCTCTTCAAGGTTCTTGCACTCTGACAGTGTGTCTGAGATTGTCCTCTGCATGAGCAGTGAGCCTGACATTGCCCCAAATTCTGCTGGGATGCATTCCATAGGTATCCCAGAGCTTCAGGAAGTGAGAATACATCATTCTGTCTTGGGAGGGGTGATTTTTTTTTATATTCAATTCTTTTAAAGGAGAAGGGTGTAGCAAAACTAACTAAAGTAGTTAGAGATGGTGGAGGTCTGCTTTAATGCTAACAGTAGGGTTATGGTTGCCTCTAAGGTTAGGATTTCTTATCAAGTCAAGATATTTTGACACAAGAACAGATTCAGGATAGTTTAGAGAACTTTTCGTGCAACACCCATCTATGAGCTTCAGTAAATAATATTAATACTATTAAAATTACAAAACCACAGAGGAAATAGTTTTATCGCCACTTGGTTTATTGTCTTGCTAAGAAAACACAAACATATGCTTATTTAATGCTGTGGAATCCTAGGAGTATTGAAAAGTCCGCCACTTGAAATGCTTTTTTTTTTGGGTAAAAGCAATTGCTACCAGAACAATATGCAACATGAGTATAAGCAATTTATAACATATAATTTACAGAATGTGGCTGCTGCGATGGTGCACTTTTGTCAGCATAATTGACATTTATATGAGATAATAGAGGATATTTAGAAAAAATGCATTTCCCACCCATTGTGAAAGAAATGTACATGTGATTCACAGATAGGATATAATCATCCCATAATGACTCTCTAACATGCTTATTATATTACAAGGATAGGGATAAAGCTCTTACAAGTAGGATACACAGATGCAATTTTGTTATTTGCATAATTATTCCTAGGGGCATACAAATAAGTATTAATGTACAAAGATGTGCAATCTTTTCAGAAAACCTTAAGTGAGATAACACCAATGCATTTATGAAAATGCTTATACACTATACTGTATACATTGTTTAGTTCACATACTGTATTTTATAGAGTGCTGGAATACTGGTAATTGCAAGAATTTTATTTGTGATATTAGTCATTTCAGTTTGATTTAAAACAAACAAAACTGAGCTTGAGTGAAAATAATAGAGATGAGCGAATTATTCAAAAATTCGGTTCGGCTGAGTCGCCGAATTCGCCGAATAAATTTGCTTCGAGCCGAATATATTCGCTGCGAATTTAACTTATAAAAAAGGGTGTTTCTAGGCTTCAGAGAGCCTTTATATTAGTGCAGAACACTGTACCTTTAATTTAAATGCCCTTGGAGTCTGCTGGGGAAGAGAAATAATACTGTCAGTCAGTATGACATGCAGATGAGTGCCGTCGATCTTAGAATCACCGCACACTTCACTCATTTGGGCAGTCACGGGGGCCAAAACCAGAGTGTGGAGCCACAGTGTGGCGGTGGAGGCAGCAGCAATGGGAGGCCATACAGCACCCTATGACAAAATGGAACCCACCAGCAGTGTGAGGAGACCTGAAAGTGGCACATGGCAGAGTGTGGCGATGGAGACAGCAGCAATGGGAGGCCGTACAGGGACCCATGACACACTCTGGACCTGGCAGCAGCATGAGGAGGCGGTACAGGGGCCCATGACAGATTACGGGCCTGGCAGGAGCATGAGGAGTCGGTACGGGGGCCCATGGCAGATTACGGGCCTGGCAGCAGCATGAGGAGGCGGTACAGGGGCCCATGGCAGAGTGGCGGAGCGTAAGCAGCTAAAATTGAAGGCCATACAGAGGCCTATGTTAAAAAGTCCCCCCAGCAGCAGCGTGGGGAGACGACTATCAAGAGTCCAATGGCAGAGTGGCGGAGCAGAAGCAGCTTCAATTGAAGGCCATACACAGGCCTAGGTTTAAAAGTCCCTCACAGTTAATTCCAATAATGAACTCTACTCCTCCGTGCAATCTAGTTACGAGACCCTGGGCAGGTCTGGGTCCAATTTGTGGTAGAGACTGGTTTTGTTTAGCCATGCTTGAGCGAGTAATAACAGGTCTGTGCTGCCCTTTGGTGTCTGGCTTAATGCGCACAACACTGAACGTCCCAGCGTTTGTCAACGATTTGCCGTTAAGTGATGCAAACCCGCTGAACCACATTCATGAGGAGCCGGTACAGGGGGCCATGAATCAGTATGGACCTGGCAGCAGCGTGAGCAGACGACAGAGGCACATGGCGCAGGGTGGCGGTGTAGGCAGCATTATTCTGAAGCCATACACAGGCCTAGGTTAAAAATCGGAAGCCGTCAGCAGCGTGAGCAGATGACGACAGAGACACATGGCGCAGGGTGGCGGTGGATGCAGCAGTATTCGGAAGCCAAACACAGGCCTCGGTTAAAAAGCGGAAGCCGTCAGCAGCGTGAGCAGACAACAGAGGCACATGGCGCAGGGTGGCGGTGGAGGCAGCAGCAATGGAAGGCCATACAGCACCCTATCACAAAATGGAACCCACCCAACAGTGTAAGGAGACCTGAAAGTGGCACATGGCAGAGTCTGGCGATGAAGTCAGCAGCAATGGGAGGCCGTACAGGGACCCATGACACACTCTGGACCTGGGCAGCAGCAAGAGGAGGTGGTACAGGGGCCCATGGCAGAGTGGCGAAGCGTAAGCAGCTTAAATTGAAGGCCATACAGAGGCCTATGTTAAAAAGTCCCCCCAGCAGCAGTGTGGGGAGACGACTATCAAGAGTCCAATGGCAGAGTGGCGGAGCAGAAGCAGCTTCAATTGAAGACCATACACAGGCCTAGGTTAAAAAGTCCCCCCAGCAGCAGCGTGGGGAGACGACTATCAAGAGTCCAATGGCAGAGTGGCGGAGCGGAAGCAGCTTCAATTGAAAGGCCATACACAGGCCTAGGTTAAAAAGTCCCCCCAGCAGCAGTGTGGGGAGACGACTATCAAGAGTCCAATGGCTGAGTGGCGATCCGGGAAGTCAGCGTTGTGATTGCAGATGCAATGCAGAAATTCTACGAAGTAATGCCGTGGGTGCGAAGAAGATCATATACCGTCGTACTTCCATCCATAAGACGGAACAACCTGCGAACCGGGAGCTTTATTGCCCTGACCCGCTGAGCAGCTTCTGGGATACCCAAGAGGCCCATGGCAGAGTGGCGGAGCGTAAGCAGCTTCAATTAAAGGCCATACAGAGGCCTATGTTAAAAAGTCCCCCCAGCAGCAGCGTGGGGAGACGACTATCAAGAGTCCAATGGCAGAGTGGCGGAGCGGAAGCAGCTTCAATTGAAGGCCATACACAGGCCTAGGTTAAAAAGTCCCCCCCAGCAGCAGTGTGGGGAGACGACTATCAAGAGTCCAATGGCTGAGTGGCGATCCGGGAAGTCAGCGTTGTGATTGCAGATGCAATGCAGAAATTTTATGAGGTGATGCCGTGGGTGCGAAGAAGATCATATATACCGTCGTACTTCCATCCATAAGACGGAACAACCTGCGAACCGGGAGCTTTATTGCCCTGACCCGCTGAGCAGCTTCTGGGATACCCAAGAGTTTGGCTTCTGTGGGGAATATGGTTGAAAACTGAAACTTAAAGGCATGTTGACGGAAGGGCACCAGTGTCAGTGCTCCGGAGGGAATATAGCTTCAAAGCTGACACTTAAAGGTATATCGACGGTCAGAGACCACAGGAAGTGGAGCTTGCGTCTTAAATCGACTGAATGTGGCAGACGTGAAACGTCTACGGGCCGTATATGAAACGGGTTGTTCCTCTTTCTGGAATAAGTGTTGGAAATGGCCACTCTTTTTGGTGTGGCGTTTTGTCTATTTAATTCCGATAACGGACTCTACTCCTCCGTGCAATCTAGTTACGAGACCCTGGGCAGGTCTGGGTCCAATTTGTGGTAGAGACTGGTTTTTGTTCAGCCATGCTTGAGCGAGTAATAACAGGTCTGTGCTGCCCTTTGGTGTCTGGCTTAATGCGCACAACACTGAACGTCCCAGCATTTGTCAACGATTTGCCGTTAAGTGATGCAAACCCGCTGAACCACGTTCATGAGGAGCCGGTACAGGGGGCCATGAATCAGTATGGACCTGGCAGCAGTGTGAGGAGACCCGAAAAGTGGCACATGGCGCAGGGTGGCGGTGGAGGCAGCAGTATTCGGAAGACATACACAGGACTAGTTTAAAAAAGCGGAAGCCGTCAGCAGCGTGAGCAGACGACAGAGGCACATGGCGCAGGGTGGCGGTGGAGGCAGCAGTATTCGGAAGCCATACACAGGCCTAGGTTAAAAAAAAGCCTGTCAGCAGCGTGAGCAGACGACAGAGGCACATGGCGCAGGGTGGCGGTGGAGGCAGCAGTATTCGGAAGCCATACACAGGCCTAGGTTTAAAACTGGAACCCAGCAGCGTGTGAGCAGACGACAAAGACGCACATGGCAGAGGATGGATCTGGCAGCAGTATGAGAAGGCGGTACAGGGGCCCGTGGCACAGTGTGGTGATGGGGGCTACAGCAACTGGATGCCAGAAAGTGGCCGATAGGGCTATATACTGCATGGAATTATAAAGTTGTAAAGACAGCGGCCTATAAGGCTATACACACTATAACAATCATGACTTGATTGACCATTGGCCTATAAGGCTATACACAGCATGAATATCATGACTTATTCTGAGAGTGGTTTGGAAGGCTATATACAAAAAGTAATTCATGAGCTGTCCGGACAGCGGACAATAAGTACATATATACAAATCAATTCATCAGCTGTCCAGCCAGCGGCCTCAAAGGCGACACATATAGAAAGCAATTCATGAGCTGTTCAGACAGCGGCCTCTAAGGCGACAGATATACAAAGCAATTCCCGAGGTGTTCAGGGAGCGGCCTGAACGGCTAGGTTATTACTAAATATATTTTTGTGGCCAAACATCGGCCTATAAATAGATGTCTACACAGTGACAAAAAATTATGTCGCCAGACAGCGGCCCCTAAGGCGACAGATATACAAAGCAATTCCCGAGGTGTTCAGTGAGCGGCTTGAACGGCTAGGTTATTACTAAATATATCTTTCTGGCCAAACATCGGCCTATAAATAGATGTCTACACAGTGACAAAAAAGTAGGTCGCCTTACAGCGGCGTATCCTACAAATTGACATTATAAGAAATGGTTTAGACCAAAAAAAAAAAAAAAAAAAACTTTGATGCGATGCTATACCTTAGTAGATTGTGGAAAGTCGACAAGTCAAGCGTAACTGTGTACATTACAGAAAATCTTAACAAGACAACCAAACATGTGGCCCAAACCGTGACCGATACAACAAGTTAACAATGTAAGAAACAGGAGGGGGCCAAACCGTGGCCAATAAATAAACAGTCCACCTCATTGATGAGATGGACAACACGTGTCAAATAAAATATTTAAAAAAATTGCTATTCCATCGGTCTGGAACTGGTCGACTATAAATAATTAAAAAGTTTAAATTCATGTGACAGTCGTCCAGCGACGTATAAATAATTTAAAAACACCAATTCATGAGGGGCCCGACCAGCAGAGTATAAGTCATTAAAAAGGTTCAATTCATGTGACGGTCGTCCAGCGAAGTATAAATAATTTAAAAACCCCAATTCATGAGGGGCCGACCTGCAGAGTATAAGTCATTAAAAATGTGCAAAACATGAGTCGGCCGACCAGCAGCCTCTCAATAAAATATATATACAAATGTACGGATCAGGTGGAGGTCTTCCATTTGTCCCTAATAACATGTTTGGGGCATGATTCATGGCGGAATTTAGTCAGTTGTGTCAGGAACTGGTGGTTTGAAATCCAGACTAATCCACGCCTGATTCATTTTCACAAACGTGAGTCTCTCCACACTTTGGGTGGACAGTCGTGTCCTCCGCGGAGTTACAATACCTCCTGCCGCACTAAACACGCGCTCCGATGCCACGCTACTGGCCGGGCATGACAGCCTTTCAAGGGCAAATTCAGCTAGTTGGGGCCAAAGGTCAAGTTTCGTTGCCCAGTAGTCAAGGGGATTGTCTACCTCGGTTGGCAGGGTGCTGTCCAAGTAGGCCCAAGCCTGTTGTTTGAGGTCCTGCTCCAGGTCCACCTGATGCTGCTGCTGCTGCGGCTGGTTAGTAGTTTCCTCACTGCGCTGGTGAAGAAAGCTACTCATCATCGACTGCAGACTGAGGCAGCCGCTGCTGGTGGAGCTGCCACTGCTCCTACCACCCCACCCCCTCCCCTGCTGCCATGGCAGCGGAACGCGAGCGCACAGGGCCCACAGTGTCTGAGGATGGACGTTGGCGCAGAAAGGCAGAGACCAACTGACTACATAGGTGGTTTTTATAGTACTTTATTTTGGCCTCCCTCTCAGCAGGTGTGAAAAAGGCCACCATTTTTGAACGGTAGCGAGGGTCCAACAAGGTGGACAGCCAAAAGTCATCCCTCTGTCTGATGGTTATTATTCGGGCTGTCGCTACGCAAGCAACCGAGCATGCTATGGGCCATTTGTGCCAAGGAATGCGAGGGACTCCCTGCCTCCATCTCCACAGCATACTGCCACGGTGCGTCTGGGTCCTCTGTCTCCTCCTCCTCCTCTACCAGATGCTCCTGCTCCTCCACTCCTGTCCGCTGAGTGGAAAAACCACCCATTTCACTCAATAATTCCTGAGCACCAATGTCCTCCTCTACCTCCTCCTCTTCTTCCTGTCCTGCCCCCACAGGGGTCATGTGGCGTTGAGATCTGTGCGCCACGCTACCGCACCCTGACCAGCCATTGTTAACAGCATTTGTTCCAGGACGTGCAACAGAGGAATGACGTCGTTCATCCCATAGTCCTGCCGACTCACGAATAGCGTGGGCCTCCTCAAAGGGCCTGAGCAAGCGGCAGGTGTCACGCATGAGCTGCCAATGGCTGACATCTAAGTTACACAGGGGAGTACCTTTATCCGCTTGTAACATCAGGAAATCGGTGATGGCCTTTCGCTGTTCGTAAAGGCGGTCTAACATATGTAGGGTTGAATTCCACCTTGTTGCAACGTCGCAGATCAGGCGATGCTGTGGAATTCCGTTCTGCCGCTGCAGCTCAAGGAGGGTGTGCTTTGCGGTGTAGGAATGGCTGAAATGCATGCAAAGTTTACGTGACATTTTAAGGATGTCTTGCAGTGGGATGGTGGATTTTAGGAACCGCTTGACAACCAGATTGAACACGTGAGCCATGCATGGCGCATGGCGCATGGCACAACCTTCCTTGACGCAGAGCAGACACCATGTTCTTTCCGTTGTCGGTCAACATGGTTCCGATTTTCAGTTTGCGCGGAGACAGCCATCTGTCGATTTCTCTGTTCATTACACTCAGAAGTTTCCTCCCCTGTGTGACTACGTTCGTTCGCCAAGGCATACCAGGTGCAGCACAGCGTGACACCGTTGCGCCCTGCACATGTGATATGCCGGTCGGGTAATGGGACTTGGCACGGGGGTGGCGGCTGAGGACACGGCGGAAGAAGAGGTGGTAGAGGCGGACATCTTTGCTGGACCAAGGACGTGCAAACGTGGAGGCAAAAGCGGCGTGACCTGTCCAAGTTGCTGGTGCGGCTGTGCCGGCACCACGTTCACCCAGTGGGCCGTAAATGACATGTACTGTCCCTGACCGTAGTTACAGCTCCACACGTCGGCGCTGCCGTGCACTTTGGCAGAGACCGACATGCTCAAAGACTGGCCCACCATCTCTCTTCTACATGTGAATGCAGGGCTGGCACTGCCTTTTTGGCAAAGAAATGCCGGCTTGGCACTCTCCACCGCGGCTCGGCACAAGCCATCATTTCTCGGAAAGGTGCTGAGTCCACCACTTGGAAAGGGAGGGACTGCAGCACCAGCAACTTGGACAGGAGGACGTTCAGCTTCTGCACCGTCGGGTGCGTGCTCGCAAACTGTTGTCTCTTGGAAACGGATTCCAAGAAAGACTGCTGACGGAATCCGTGAAGAGGAGTAGCAGGAGAAGGAGCATCTGAACGAGAGGAAGATGCCAACGAGCGACAACTCCCCTCAGCAGAGGTGTTGGAGCCTTGACTGGCTGATAGAGGGCGATTGACGTCGGGTGACGGAGCAAGTAACGGAGCGGGTGATGGAGCGGGGGCTGGGGCAGGCAGCAGAACCGCCGTATCTTTATCACGGTTTTCCCAGGCCACCGAATGGCGACGCTGCATATGCTGACGCAACGCTGTAGTCCCAACATTGGCCCCTGGCCACGCTTGACTTTCTGGCCACATAGTCGACATACGGCTACGTTTACTTCCTCGGGCGGCTTGCTTGAAAAATTGCCACACCGCCGAGTAGGAAACTTGCCCCCCCGCTACTCCTCACTGGCTGACTGCTACTTCCTCCGTGCACACCGGCACCACTACTGGCCGTGGTGGTAGGCTGCAGTGGAGCTGGTGCTCTACTCCGTGGCCGTTTGGCTCCACTGACACTGCTGCGACCCTGCTGCCTCCTGGGCAACCCACCGACTGTTTTGCTCGCTGGCAAGCTGGCACCCTCTTCTCCTGATGATGCGGAAGCAATAGCCTGATGACGACGAGGCTGCCAAGTGCGATCAGCCTCATCATCATCAATTAGGGTCTCCGCGTCACTACTAGCCCCCTTCGGCTGCGTGTGGGTCAGGAGACAGACCTGTCTCTAGACCGGCTACCGAGCCACTCTCCTCGCCAGTACTTCTTCGCCTGGCTGCTGAGAAGAGGCGGATGTCTCCCCCCGTTCCTGACCGCCCTCTGTTAGCTCTTCCTCACTGTACAGTGGGGCTGAGCCCACAGCATGCGATACTTCGCTTGGTGAGGGAACACCAAAGGACAGGGGCAGGTCGAGGACACGTGATTTCAGTGGGCTTGCTCCCGGGCCATGCCAACTAACGGTTGTGTCTGACGTACCCACCGACCGTTGGCTGTAGGTGTCAGAGGTGACCTGGGAAGAGGAAGACGACCGAGTCAACCAATCGATGACGGCAGGGTTGTCGGTGGAGACACGACCGCTGGATGACACCGGGAGCACTGGCCTCTGGCTGCGACTAGTGCTGCCTCGACCCCTTCCTCTGCTGCCACGTCTGCTCGCTCCTGAAACATTGCCTCCTCTGCCACTCCTCTGCGTGTTGTCTGACATACTCTTTAATTCATAAGCACCCCAAAAATAAAACCGGATTTAACTCTTTGAACGTACAATAGTGGTTGTGAAGCAGAAAGTCAGTTTATTTAGCACAATCGGTCAATTGCAGCTTGCCGTTGGCTGGTAAACTGTACGTTTATGTCACTGGAATGCACTAATCACCCAAAAAAATATTACCGCCACCCGGCGTGTATATGGATTTAACTCTTTGAACGTACAATAGTGGTTGTGAAGCAAAAGTCAGTTTATTGTACACAATCGGTAAATTGCAGCTTGCCGTT